TCTGTACATAATGCCCTGAATCTATTCTACAATGCCCAGAAATCTGCCCCCTTTATTCTCTGTACCCAACATTCTAGAAGACCAGTTCTTAAAGCCTTTAGCCATATCCTTATTCTAGTCCCCCTCTGTTCCTCTGGTGATGTAGAGGCTAACCCAGGCCCTGCAGCCCCCAGTATCACTCCTACTCCCCAGGAGTTATCATTTGTTGACTTCTGTAACCGTAAAAGCCTTGGTTTTCTGCACGTTAACAACATAAGCCTCCTTCCTAAGTTTGAGTTATTCACTGCGTTAGCACACTCCACCAACCCTGATGTTCTAGCAGTGTCTGAATCCTGGCTTAGGAAGGCCACCAAAAATTCAGAAATGTCCATCCCCAACTACAACATTTTTCGTCTAGATAGAACTGCCAAAGGGGGTGGAGTTGCAATCTACTGTAGAGAGAGCCTGCAGAGCTATATCATACTATCCAGGTCTGTGCCCAAACAGTTTGAGCTCCTACTTCTAAAAATCCACCTTTCCAGAAATAAGTCTCTCACTGCCGCTTGCTACAGACCCCCCTCAGCCCCCAGCTGTGCACTGGACACCATATGTGAATTGATTGCCCCCATCTATCCTCAGAGTTCGTACTGCTTGGTGACCTAAACTGGGATATGCTTAACACCCCGGCCATCCTACAATCCAAACTAGATGCCCTCAATCTCACACAAATTATCAAGGAACCTACCAGGTACAACCCTAAATCCGTAAACATGGGCACCCTCATAGATATCATCCTGACTAACTTACCCTCTAAATACACCTCCGCTGTCTTCAACCAGGATCTCAGCGATCACTGCCTTATTGCCTGCGTCCGTAACGGGTCCGCGGTCAAACGACCACCCCTCATCACTGTCAAACGCTCCCTAAAACACTTTAGCTAGCAGGCCTTCCTAATTGACCTGGCCCAGGTATCCTGGATGGATATTGATCTCATTCCGTCAGTAGAGGATGCCTGGTTGTTCTTTAAAAGTGCTTTCCTCTCAATCTTAAATAAGCATGCCCCATTCAAAAAATTCAGAACTAAGAACAGATATAGCCCCTGGTTCTCCTCAGACTTGACTGCCCTTGACCAGCACAAAAACATCCTGTGGCGTACTGCATTAGCATCGAATAGCCCCCGCGATATGCAACTTTTCAGAGAAGTTAGGAACCAATATACACAAGCAGTTAGGAAAGCAAAGGCTAGCTTTTTCAAACAGACATTTGCATCCTGTAGCACTAACTCCAAAAAGTTTTGGGACACTGTAAAGTCCATGGAGAATAAGAGCACCTCCTCCCAGCTGCCCACTGCACTGAGGCTAGGAAACACTATCACCACCGATAAATCTATAATAATCGAGAATTTCAACAAGCATTTTGCTACGGCTGGCCATGCTTTCCACCTGGCTACCACTACCCCGGCCACCAGCACTGCACCCTCCGCTGCAACTTGCCCATGCCCTCCCCACTTCTCCTTCACACAAATTCAGACAGCTGATGTTCTGAAAGAGCTAGACAATCTGGACACTTTCTTTCTAAAAATAGCCGCCGAAATTGTCGCAACCCCTATTACTAGCCTGTTCAACCTCTCTTTCGTAACGTCTGAGATCCCCAAAGATTGGAAAGCTGCCGCGGTCATCCCCCTCTTCAAAGGGGGTGACACTCAAGATCCAAACTGTTACAGACCTATATCCATCCTGCCCTGCCTTTCGAAAGTTTTTGAAAGCCAAGTTAACAAACAGATCACCGACCATTTTGAATCCCACCATACCTTCTCCGCTATGCAATCCGGTTTCCGAGCTGGTCATGGGTGCACCGCAGCCACGCTCAAGGTCCTAAACAATATTATAACCGCAATCGATAATAGACAGTACTGTGCAGCCGTCTTCATCGACCTGGCCAAGGCTTTCGACTCTGTCAACCACTGCATTCTTATTGGCAGACTAAATAGCCTTGGTTTGGTTCACTAACTACTTCTCAGATAGAGTTCAATGTGTCAAATCGGAGGGCCTGTTGTCTGGACCTATGGCAGTCTCTATGGGGGTGCCACAGGGTTCAATTATTGGGCCGACTCTTTTCTCTGTGTATATCAATGATGTCGCTCTTGCTGCTGGTGACTCTCAGATCCAGCTCTACGCAGACAACACCATTTTGTATACATCTGGCCCTTCATTGGACACTGTGTTAACAAACCTCCAAATGAGCTTCAATGCCATACAACACTCCTTCAGTAGCCTCCAACTGCTCTTAAACACTAGTAAAACTAAATGCATGCTCTTCAATCAAACGCTGCTGGCACCCGCCCACCCAACTACAATCACTACTCTCGACGGGTCTGACCTAGAGTATGTGGACAACTACAAATACCTAGGTGTCTGGTTAGACTGTAAACTCTCCTTCCAGACTCACATTAAGCATCTCCAATCCAAAGTTAAATCTAGAATCGGCTTCCTATTTTGCAACAAAGCCTCCTTCACTCATGCTGCCAAACATGCCCTCGTAAAACTGACTATCCTACCGAACCTTGACTTCGGCGATGTCATTTACAAAATAGCCTCCAACACTCTACTCAGCAAATTGAATGTAGTCTATCACAGTGCCATCCGTTTTGTCACCAAAGCCCCATATACTACCCACCACTGTGACCTGTACGCTCTTGTTGGCTGGTCCTCACTACATATTCGTTGCCAAACCCACTGGCTCCAGGCCATCTATAAATCACTGCTAGGCAAATCTCCGCCTTATCTTTGCTCATTGGTCACCATAGCAACACCCACCCGTAGTATGCGCTCCAGCAGGTATATCTCACTGGTCATCCCCAAAGCCAACACCTCCTTTGGCCGCCATTCCTTCCAGTTCTCTGCTGCCAATGACTGGAACGAACTGCAAAAATCTCTGAAGCTGGAGGCTCTTATCTCCCTCACTAACTTTAAGCGTCAGTTGTCAGAGCACCTTACCGATCACTGCACCTGTACACAGCCCTTCTGAAATTAGCCCACTCAACTACCTCATCCCCATATTGTTATTTATTTTGCTCATTTGCACCCCAGTATCTCTATTTGCACATCATCTCTTGCACATCTATCATTCCAGTGTTAATACTAATTGTAATTATTTTGCACTATGGCCTATTTATTGCCTTACCTCCATAACTTGCTACATTTGCACACACTGTATATATATTTTCTGTTATATTTTTTACCTTATGTTTTGTTTTACCCCATATGCAACTCTGTGTTGTTGTTTTTATCGGACTGCTTTGCTTTATCTTGGCCAGGTCACAGTTGTAAATGAGAACTTGTTCTCAACTGGCTTACCTGGTTAAATAAAGGTGAAATAAAAAAAACTAAAATAAAAAACTTATTGACTCAAGACATTTCAGCTTTTCATTTTTAATTAATTTGTAAAAATTTCGAAAAACATAATTCCAATTTGATATTATGGGGTATTGTGTATATAGGCCAGTAAAAAAAAAATCCATTCAGGCTGTAACACAAGAAAAGGTGGGAAAAAGTGAAGGGGTGTGAATACTTTCTGAAGGCACTGCAAATATCATCCCCCCCCATAAAATGCTAGCATGGCTTTGTGCCTCTAACTTTCTCACTCATAATTATTCAAGATTCATTCATGATTATCCGTAATCATGGTAGCATTCACATTAATGTAGAAGTGTTCAGAAACATATATTCTTATTTACAGAAAATGTGACTCCAAAATGGCACAATATATTATTTACCATGCATTTCTATTCGGCACAACATAATGCGAAACAAACAAAACAAACTGCAAATGCATCCAACAAGTTTGTAGAGTCACAAGCTTGATATAGTCATTGCGTGCTAGGAATATGGGACCAAATACTAAACTTTTGACTACTTTAATACACTTGTGGCAAAATCCTGGACGGAGCCTTCACTGTGCGCTGCCCCTTTAAGAGCGCGTCTGCAGTCAGGAAGGAGGAAATAAACCCCTGCTGGTTTGTACTCAATCAAAGTTATTCCTTTTGGTTTGACGAACACTCCAGCAGCCTTCCAAAGGCTGATGGCGACTGTCCTGGGAGATCTGAGGGGGGGAAATTGTCTTGTGAATCTGGATGACATCATAATCTATTCCTCTGTTGCTGATCATCTGCAAGACATACAGTCCGTCTTCGACAGACTAAAGGCTGCAGCTTTGAGCCTGATCTTGAAGAAGTGTCATTTCTGCTTGCCTGAACTCAAGTTCCTTGGTCATGTGTTTAATGCAGAAGGTATCCATGCAGATCCAGCCACATATGCTGGAGTTCCCAATTTCCACATCTCTGAAGGTTGTTCAGCGCTTCCTGGGTATGGCTGGATGGTACCACAGGTTTGTGCCTGACTTTTCAAAGGTCGCCGAACCACTCAACCACCTTAAGAAGAAGGGGGTGAAGTTCCAATGGACTCCTGCATGCCAGAGCGCATTTGAAGCACTCAGAAACTGTCTCATCACTCCTCCAGTGCTTGGACATCCTAAGCTGAATGATAATTTCATAATGTACATAGATGCAAGTCAAACATGACTCGGAGCAGTCTTTGCTCAACCAACAGGACCTGGAACAGAAGAAATTCTTACCTATGCAAATCTCACCCTTAATTCCGCCTAGAGGAATTAGTCAACGACTGAACTGGTGTGCCTCGCTGTGGTCTGGGCTCTGGAGAAATGGAGCTACTATTTGGAGGCCAAGGTCTTCAACGTTGCCACAGAACACGCTGCTCTGCAGTGGGTTCTGGCATCAGGCAAGACCAACAGCTGTCTCATTCGCTGGTCTATCAGACTCCAGAGGTTTGACTTCATCATTGAGTATCGCAAAGGAAAACTGAATGTTGTACCAGATGCCCTCTCTCGGATTACAGAGACCGCCAACGTCTGTCCTCCATTGTGCAGCACTTACACTACTGCTAAGTGTCTGGATGATTCTTTCCCTCTGGATGATGAGTGTTTGTGGAGAGCACAGAGAAATGATGCCGCCATCATGGAGATCCACGAGTCTGTCTGAGGAAGACTCGAAGGGCCGCTTCAGTGAGAAGTTCTGCATAATTCAGGATAAAGTGTATCGAAAAACTCCAAGAGGAGATGGAACACACTGCACCCATTACCGTGTCTTCATCCCCTCTAACCTACTGAAGATTACAGGAGGTGGTGTACTGGCCAGGCATATGGGTTGATACCAAGATGTTTGTACAGCAGTGTGAAGTCTGCCAGAAATACAAACCAGACATTGGCAGACCTGCCGGGAAACTGCAGCAGACCGTTGTGAACCATCCCAATGAAATGCTGGGAATTTTCCTCCCAGTCGGGGGACCTGGAATTAATTCTTATTGGTGGTAGTGGACTACTACACACACTGGGTGGAGTTGTTTCCACTCCGCAAAGCCACTGCATCCGCCATTGATCTAATTTTGCGAATGGAGGTCTTTACCAGATTCGTGATTCCAGACCAGATTCTCTCTGACCGAGGACCACAGTTCATGTCTGGAATCTACAAAGAGCTCTGTACCTACTGGGGTGTAGTTGCCAAGCTGACCACTGCCTACCATCCTCAGACCAACCTGGCGAGAGGGTAAATCGCACCCTGAAGGGGATGATTACTTTGTGGGGGATCAGCATCTTCCTGAGTATCGCTTTGTACTGAACTCTGCGGTCCAGGAGACTTCTGGGGTCACTCCCACCAAACTCCACCTGGGGAGACACTAAAAGGTCAGATGGAGAGAACCTTCCAAATTCCCCTCGTTTCACTTGACTGCCCAGCATTTGATGCAGTCCCCCACCACCATACCTTGCTAGCCAGAGTGGAGGCTAGCAGAATCAAAGCCAAACAACGACAGCTCAGAAACTATGACAAACATAGAAGAGACATGTGTTTCTCACCCTAGTCTCGTGTCTGGGTCCGTTCTCATAATCTGTCAAATGCGTCCAAGCAGTTCACTGCAAAGCTAGCTTCGAGATGCAAAGGTCCTTTCTATGTGGTGCAGCAGGGCCCGGTGAACTACTTGGTCTCTTTGGAGAACACGGGGGAAGATGTCAGGACGGTGCATGTTGTTGACCTAGAGCCCTGCTACCCTACGGCAGAAGAGCTGGATCGCAGGCAAAAGCAACACCTGCAGGAATTCTTCTTAGAGGACCCTGTTGACTTCCCTGGTTTTGTGTAGTATGAACATGAACCTGCCAAAGCGTGCATCCTCTCTGTTTCTACAGGCTCTTTTTTCATGGGGAAGGAGTGTGGCGAAATCCTGCACAGAGCCTTGAATCACGGTTCACCATCTGGCAGTCCCGACGGATGAATCTGGGTTTGGCGGATGCCATTAGAACACTACCTGCCCCAGTGCCAACTGTACAGTTTGGTGGAGGAGGAATAATGGTATGGGGCTGTTTTTCATGGTTCGGGCCCCTTAGTTTCAGTGAAGGGAAATCTTAACGCTACACCATACAATGACATTCTAGACGATTCTGTGGTTCCAACTTTGTAGCAACAGTGTGGGGAAGGCCCTTTCCTGTTTCAGCATGACAATGCCCCCGTGCACAAAGCGAGGTCCATACAGAAATGGTTTGTCGAGATCGGTGTTGAAGAACTTGACTGCACAGACCCCTAACCTCAACCCTATCGAACACCATTGGGATGAATTGGAACGCCGACTGCGACCCAGGCCTAATCGGCCAACATCAGTGCCTGACCTGACTAATGCTCTTGTGGCTGAATGGAAGCAAGTCCCTGCAGCAATGTTCCAACATCTATTGGAAAGCCTTCCCAGAAGAGTGGAGGCTGTTATAGCAGCAAAGGGGGGACCAACTCCATATTAATGCCCATGATTTTGGAATGAGATGTTTTCCACATACTTTTGTTCATGTAGTGCCTACGGAAAGTATTCAGACCCCTTGACTTTTTCCACATTTTGTTACGTTACAGCCTTATTCTAAAATTGATTAAGTTGTTTTTTCCCCTCATCAATCTACACACAATGCCCCATAATGTACATTTTATTAAAAATAGAAAAAACTATCACATTTACATTAGTATTCAGACCCTTTACTCAGTACTTTGTTGACGCACCTTTGGCAGCGATTACAGCATCGAGTCTTCTTGGGTATGAAGCTACAAGCTTGGCACACCTGTATTTGGGGAGTTTCTCCCATTTTTCTCTGTAGATCCTCTCAAGTGCTGTCCAGTTGGATGGGGAGTGTCGCTGCACAGCTATTTCCAGAGATGTTCGATCAGTTTCAAGTCCGGGCTCTGGCTGGGTCACTCAAGGACATTCAGAGACTTGTCCCGTAGCCACTCCTGAGTTGTCGTAGGGTCGTTGTCCTGTTGGAAGGTGAACCTTCGCCCCAATCTGAGGTCCTGAGCTGGTTTTCATCAAGATTTCTCTGTACTTTGCTCCGTTCATCTTTGCCTCGATCCTGACTAGTCTCCCAGTCCCTACAGCTGAAAAACATCCCTACAGCCTGATGCTGCCACCACCATGCTTCACCGTAGGGATGGTGCCAGGTTTCCTCCAGACGTGACGTTTGGCATTCAGGCCAAAGAGTTTCATCTTGGTTTCATCAGACCAGAAAATATTGTTTCTCATGGTCTGAGAGTCACTCCAAGCGGGCTGCCATGTGCCTTTTACTGAGGAGTGGCTTCCGTCTGGCCTCTCTACCATAAAGGCCTGATTGGTGGAGTGCTGCAGAGATGGTTATCCTTCTGGAAGGTTCTGCCATCTCCACAGAGGAACTCTAGAACTCTTGGTCACCTCCCTGACCAAGGCCCTTCTCCCTCGATTGCTCAGTTTGGCCGGGCGGCCAGCTCTAGGAAGAGTCTTGGTGGTTCCAAACTTCTTCCATTTAAGAATGAGGGAGGCCACTGTGTTCCTGGTGGACCTTCAACGCTGCAGAAATGTTTTGGTACCCTACCCCAGATCTGTGCCTCGACACAATCCTGTCTCTGAGCTCTACGGACAATTCCTTCGACCTCATGGCTTGGTTTTTGCTCTGACATGCACTGTCAGCTGTGGGACCTCATATAGACAGGTGTGTGCCTTTCCAAATCATGTCCAATCAATTGAATTTACCACAGGTGGACTCCAATCAAGTTGTAAAAACATCTCAAGGATGATCAATGGAAACAGGATGCCATGAGCTTAATTTTGAGTCTCATAGGAAAGGGTCTGAATACTTATGTAAATAAGGTATTTCTGTAAAATTTTGAATACATTTGCAAAAAAATCTAAAAAAACCAGTTTTCCCTTTGTCATTATGGGGTATTGTGTGTAGATTGCTAGAAAAAGAAGGCTGTAACGTAACAAAATGTGGAAAAAGTCAAGGGTTATGAATACTTTCCGAAGGCGCCGTATGTATGAAAATATCCTCAAATAAAAGGTGACATTCTGTACTGTCGCCTCATGAAACATTTTATCTCAAATCCAAAATGCTGGACTATAGAGCCAAGTTAAAAGTTTTAGCTTCACTGACCAAAGAAAGGTGTGTGTGTGTGTGTGTGCGTCTCAGAGCTGGAGGTCCGGCAGCAGCGTGGAGGTCTCTTACAGGGGACGTTACTGCTCACTGTGTCAGACCCCCAGGAGCCTGGACTGGGCAGTGGGGGAGCCACTCTCAATGCACTGCTGGTGGCAGCCGAACACCTGAGTGCCAGAGCTGGATACACTGTAAGTGGTTCCACACTCACAATATGTCCATAGAATATCATAAAAATATAACTTAGAGGTGTAGAGACAAAGGAAAAATTCCACTGCAAGTATTGTGAGTCCGTTTGTGCATTTTAGTTTATTAGACCATAAAGTCTTTGTATATTGATGACATTTTTGTCTAGTTTACCGACTGAATAGATTCCTGTAACTGAAATATACAAATGTTATTGTCTTGACTGTATTGTGGTGATACCCTCTTGTTGGGGTATATTAATTGTGGAGCATTTTTACGTTTTACATTTTAGTCATTTAGCAGACGCTCTTATCCAGAGCGACTTACAGTTAGAGTGCATACTTTTTTTTTTCATACTGCAGAACTATGCACTTATCCAATGTTGTTTTCAGGTTGTTACCGCGGATGTCCTTGATGATGCCCATATCCTGATCTTGCACACGGTAAGACTGGAAGGGTAGCAGAGGACAGGTAGAAGGAGAGAGTGGGGCGGCGAGGTCGACTGGATCGGGAATGAGGTTTCAAATGTGAGATTTAATGTACTATTATTATTCACATGGACATTGGAGTAATCTCTCTCTTTCTGTGTTTTTCTCTCTGTCCTCCCCACCTCTCCTGTCTTTCTGTAGGGACGTGACTTTCCCTGGGATAGCTGTGGCAGGGCTTTCTGCTGGCTGCCTGTGGAAAAGCCAGCTCAGACTGTGCAGGGACCTGTCTGCTGCCTGGATATTCTGCTAGACTGCCTTTCCAATCAGGTTAGCCATAATCCTGTTTGTTGGAGACACCCACTAGACTAAGGGTCACCTACTCTGGTCCTGGAGTGGGATTACTTCTCCATTAATGGGGCGGTTGGTACAAGTGGCTTGGTATCATCCATTAATACAAGCTGCTCTGTATCATTTTCTCAGGTTTTCAAGCCACCTGCTTTCCATCATTGAATGTGATGATAATTATACAGCAATACACTTAAATTCAAGCCTAGAACACCGTTTAGAAATGACAGCACTTTTTGTACATAGTCCCCCCATTTTAGGGTACCAAAAGTATTGGGACAAATTCACTTATGTATTAAAGTAGTCAAAAGTTTCATATTTCGTCTTATATTCCTAGCACGCAAATATTACATCAAGCTTGTGACTCTACCAACTTGTTGGATGCATTTGCTGTTTGTTTTGTTTTGTGTTGCAGATTGTTTTATGCCCAATAGAAATGAATGGTAAATAATGTATTGTGTTATTTTGGAGTCACTTTTATTGTAAATAAGAATAGAATGTTTCTAAACACTTCTAAATTAATGTGGATGCTACAATGATTATGGATAGTCTGGAATGAATCGTGATTGAGAAAGTTACAGACGCACAAATGTCATACCCCCAAGACATGCTAACCTCTCACCGTTACACTGTTTTGGGGTATGATATTTGTGCGTCTAACTTTCTCACTCATCATTATTCACGATTCATTCAGAACTATCCGTAATCATGGTAGCATCCACATTAACTCATTACCTTCATGCATTCTCTGTTAAATCTTCTAGACCATGCTGTAAATCAAGTAGCCAATAGCAGATAATCAACATATATAATCAACATAAATGTAGGGGTATTGGATTGGATCCAACATTGGATCCAATATGTTGATGTCTCGTTCGTTGCGCAAGTGAAGTTGTGATTCATCAAATTCTGGACTTTCTTCCGATCACCGTTTTCCGCACTGGCTGTTTTTGCATTGCACGCTATATCACAACAGCTGATTGTCACTTAACTGTCATTCAGAAAAATATTTCCTGGATCAATTGATGGTCGACAATATCCCTAGGCCTAACAACAGCTGGACACCAAATGTGCATTCAACAAGTAGGTCGATTAGCCTACGCATAGCCTATAGAAGAACCACGCAAGTTAGTTGACTTTTGGTCTAGGAGCATTTGATTTAGCAATTGCATGCGTCATTTTGGATTTGTGTGCCCATGAAAACTGGTTTCACGGCATAGCCTAAAATATCAATATGAACATTTGATAAAGCGGTGCTGCCATTAATAGCACACTATCTCATAAACTCAGCAAGACTTTTGTCCGGCTGATGGCCCATACGGGGTCAGAAGAAAATATCATAGGCCTAGTTTTATTATATTGATAATTAGGTTCTATAGAGCAAATTTCAAGAAAATGAATTATTATAAGGTTGAAATCACTTTTCTTTATGTGCATGTTTTTAATTAATTAGTAGGTTTATGGATTACATTTTTCAAGTTATTTGCCCAACCCTGTTTTATTTATTCTGTCTGAAAAGGAAGACAACGAATGCAGCACATTTTATTCATGTATTTATACAATATTCTGCCCATATGAATGAATTTATATACAATATACAATATTGTGGCGCAGTGGTCTAAGGCACTGCATCGCAGTGCTAGCTGTGCCACTAGAGATCCTGGTTCGAATCCAGGCTCTGTCGTAGCCGGCCGCGACCGGGAGACCCATGGGGCGGCACACAATTGGCCCAGTGTCGTCTAGGGTGGGGGAGGGAATGGCCGGCAGGGTTGTAGCTCAGTTGGTAGAGCATGGCGTTTGCAACGCCAGGGTTGTGGGTTCGATTCCCACGGGGGGTATGAAAAAAATAATATATTAAAAATAATAATAATGTATGCCCTCACTAACTGTAAGTCGCTCTGGATAAGAGCGTCTGCTAAATGACTAAAATGTAAATGTAAATCTTCTGCCCATATGAACAAATTTGTTTTAGGGCATTAGGGAACCAATATGAGAGCCTTCAGACAGGTTTAAACAAGTTTCCCCCATTGTTCCCCAGCCAATCGCGCACACACTTTGTTCCCCAGCCAATCATGCACACGCGGGTGCGGACGAAAGAGTCGCCAACAAAGGAGTTAACTTCTGCTGCAGCCTTCGCTGCGAAATATAATGCGGTGCATCCATGAAATAAATATCTGCTGCCAATGTAATTACAGTAGATAGCAGGTTGTTCTGTTTTCTTAGAACAATTCATTAGCCCACAGTGAATTGTTTGTGTTTTTAGTAGGGCTATAGTCTTTTATTGATAAATATTTCATTTGTTGATGTTTTGTGTGTCATGTCCATTGACTTTTGTTTGTATTAACTGCGATATGGGTATGATAAATCGGTTACAACATTGACTATACCATTCTCTATTAGCCCCAATTTGGTTAGTACTTCTGATTTTAAAATTATATACACAATAAACCGATTTAATCAATTGCTTTGAATATGGTGTGCCACAAGGCTCTATGTTGGGGTCAGTGCTTTTTGAATAAAATTCATGACACCAGGTCAAGAACAACATCTTTCCTACCTCTATTTTTTGGTCAATGGCTGAACTCACTTGTGAAGTTGTGTTGTGTCTGCCTCACATAAAGTTTGTCTCTGCCCTGTTTTGTCCATCTGTAGGTGTGCCCTGGTTCTCCCCCGGGTGTTTGGGTGTGCAGCACTGACATGATCCTGACCATGCCAACTACCTTCAGTTAAATCCTTTCTAAAATTCCATTCTGATCTATTTTTTAAAAACCTGTCTCCCCCACTGTCTCTTAATATTATTTCTCTTCTGTCTTTCAGAAATGTCATGGGAGGGTTTTTCTGGGGTCCGTGTGTTGGCACTACCTAGTGATGTCTCTTACGCCGCCAATCATGGAGTCTACTTCGCTGATGAGCAGGTACATAACCTTAAGGATAGATCTCTTACTGAATGGAATTACAAACTCTAGATACAGTGCCTTCAGAAAGTATTCACACCCGTTTGCTTTTGTTACAGCCTGAATTTAAAATGGATTAAATTAAGATTTTGTGTCACTGGCCTACACACAATACCCCATAATGTCAAAGTGGATTATATATATTTTTTTGGTACAAATGTCTTGAGTCAATAAGTATTCAACCCCTTTGTTATGGCAAGCCTAAATAACTTCAGGAGTAAACATTTGCTTAACAAGTCACATAATAAGTTCCATGGACTCACTCTGTGTGCAATAATAGACATGATTTTTGAATGACTACCTCATCTCTGTACTCCACACATACAATTATCTGTAAGGTCTAGGGATTAATATTTTCCCGAAAACCTACCAAGTTTCAAAACTGGGAATAATTCATATTTATCCCGAGAGTACCGGGAAATACTGCAAAAAAGTGCCAATTTAAAGCGTTTAAAACCAAGATATGGTCAGGGTTCTCCTAAAATAAGATTGTCGCTGCGCCACATTGCTGTTTTGGCTGCACCACTATATAAAGATTTGACAGCAAATGAAACTGATATTTAGTAATGATAGTAGCTTTGATCGCCACTGACATTGTTATTAATTGCGAACAGGCCGTTCATAAATTCAGAGCATTATCATGTTCCTCAATTAATTCAGCACATTTCAGCAGTAGTCCTAGGCTATCTCGACACAGAGCGCCATAGCATTGTCGAATCATACAAACTTTGCAACGCCAGTTAAACAAAAGTCAAATGGCCAAAGTTGCTAAGCTTGCTAGATAACCTCCCATGAATGACAGAATATCTCCTATTTGTTAAAATCGAGTTGATGATTATACAGATAGCATATCAGCTCATGAGTAACGGGGAGATGAAGAGAGGAAATTGTTTAAACATCAAGGTATCTTAACGGGGACCAACTCTGTTTAAATATAAAAATATCCATATCTACTCTAATACCGTTTGTTGATCACACATTCTCTACCGACACTCATATGGGAAGCAATATGAAACAGCACAGAGAAGCAGGGGAAATGTTATGGTGGTATTTTGACATGCATAGGCGAGATGTGCTTTGATAATGCAGCCTATGGATTACAGAATAATGTTAGGAATTTTCATGCGAGACAGGAGTCCGAATTGTGGCTTTCAGTGGGATTGGAACGATAGGAAAATAGCCTCTAGCTAAGGCTATATAAGGCTACTGCGTGAGTCAATAGATAAATAATACACTTGATTTAGGCTACATTATTGTATGCTAAATGTTTTGGATCAGTGATAGATGAGCAAACAAATAAATGATCTACCACTTCCACTTGTTCAGCCAGAGATCAATTAACCAAATATACAGTTGTGGTCAAAAGGTTTGAGAAAGACACAAATATTAATTTTCACAAAGTCTGCTGCCTCAGTTTTTATGATGGCAATTTGCATATACTCCAGAATGTTATGAAGAGTGATCAGATGAATTGCAATTAATTGCAAAGTCCCTCTTTGCCATGAAAATGAACTTAATCCCCAAAAAACATTTCCACTGCATTTCAGCCCTGCCACAAAAGGACCAGCTGACATCATGTCAGTGATTCTCTCGTTAACACAGGTGAGAGTGTTGACGAGGACAAGGCTGGAGATCACTCTGTCATGCTGATTGAGTTAGAATAACAGACTGGAAGCTTTAAAAGCAGGGTGGTGCTTGAAATCATTGTTCTTCCTCTGTTAACCATGGTTACCTGCAAGGAAACACGTGCCGTCATCATTGCTTTGCACAAAAAGGGCTTCACAGGCAAGGATATTGCTGCTAGTAAGATTGCACCGAAATCAACAATTTATCGGGTCATCAAGAACTTCAATGAGAGAGGTTAAATTGTTGTGAAGAAGGCTTCAGGGTGCCCAAGAAAGTCCAGCAAGCGCCAGGACCGTTTCCTAAAGTTGATTCCGCTGCGGGATTGGGGCACCACCAGTGCAGAGCTTGCTCAGGAATGGCAGCAGGCAGGTGTGAGTGCATCTGCACGCACAGTGAGGCGAAGACTTTTGGAGGATGGCCTGGTGTCAAGAAGGGCAGTGAGGAAGCCACTTCTCTCCAGGAAAAACATCAGGGACAGACTGATATTCTGCAAAAGGTACAGGGATTGGACTGCTGAGGACTGGGGTAAAGTCATTTTCTCTGATGAATCCCCTTTCCGATTGTTTGGGGCATCCGGAAAAAAGCTTGTTCGGAGAAGACAAGGTGAGTGCTACCATCAGTCCTGTGTCATGTCAACAGTAAAGCATCCTGAGACCATTCATGTGTGGGGTTGCTTCTCAGCCAAGGGAGTGGGCTCACTCACAATTTTGCCTAAGAACACAGCCAAGAATAAAGAATGGTACCAACACATCCTCCGAGAGCAACTTCTCCCAACCATCCAAGAACAGTTTGGTGATGAACAATGCCTTTTCCTGCATGATGGAGCACCTTGCCATAAGGCAAAAGTGATAACTAAGTGGCTCGGGGAACAAAACATCTACATTTTGGGTCCATGGCCAGGAAACTCCCCAGACCTTAATCCCATTGAGAACTTGTGGTCAATCCTCAAGAGGCGGGTGGACAAACAAAAACCCACAAATTCGGACAAACTCCAAGCATTGATTATGCAAGAATGGGCTGCCATCAGTCAGGATGTGGCCCAGAAGTTAATTGACAGCTTGCCAGGGCGGATTGCAGAAGTCTTGAAAAAGAAGGGTCAACACTGCAAATATTGACTCTTTGCATAAACTTAATGTAATTGTAAATAAAAGTCTTTGACACTTATGGAATGCTTGTAATTATTCTTCAGTATACCATAGTAACATCTGACAAAAATATCTAAAAACACTGAAGCAGCAAACTTTGTGAAGACCAATACTTGTCATTCTCAAAACTTTTGACCTCAACTGTACAGACAGATATTCAGTGAAACAAAATCACATTGATTGACTATCAGTGTGATTAGTTGAGCAGTGAATTTCAAACACACATTCAACCACAAAGACCAGGGAGGATTTCCAGTGCCGCGCAAAGAAGGGCACCTATTGGTAGATTGATATGAGGCCAATAGTGACTTTAAAAACGTTAGAGAGTTTCATGGCTGTGATAGGAGAAAACTGAGGATGGATCAACAACATTGTAGTTACTCCACAATACTAACCTAACTGACAGAGTGAAAAGAAGGAACCCTGTACAGAACAAAATATTCAGAATCACACATCCTGTTTTCAACAAGGCACTACAGTAATCCTGCAAAAAATGTGGCAAAGAGAATTCACTTTTTGTACTGAATACGAAGTGTTTGGATAAAAGCGTCTGCTAAATGGCTTATTATTATTATTATTATTATTATTATTATTATTATGTTTGGGGCAAATCCAATACACACATTACAGAGTACCACTCTCCATATTTTCAAGCATAGTGTTGGCTGCATCATGTTATGGGTATGCTTGTAATCATTAAGGACTGGGGAGGTTTTCAGGATAAAATTGAAACGTAATGGAGCTAAGCACCGGGAAAATCCTAAAACACAAGGCCAAATCTACACTGGAGTTCCTTACCAAGACAGTGAATGTTATTGAGTGGCCGAGTTACAGTTTTGAATTAATCTACTTGAAAATCTACGGCAAGACTTAAAATGGTTGTCTAACAATGATCAACAACCAATTTCAAGGAGCTTGAAGAATTTTGAAAATAATAATGGGCAAATGTTGCACAGTCCAGGTGTGTAAGCTCTTAGAGACTTACCCAGAGAGACTCACAGCTGTAATCGCCGCCAAAGGTGCTTCTACAAATTATTGACTCGGGTGTGACTACTTATGTGAATGAGATATTTCTGTATTTCATTTTCAATCAATTTGGAAACATTTCTAAAAACATGTTTTTACTTTGTAATTATTGAGTATTGTGTGTAGATGTAAATATATTTAATCAATTTTGAATTCAGGCTGTAACACAACAAAATGTGGAATAAGTCAAGGGGTATGAATACTTTCTGAAGGCACTGTACGCATTCTTTTGACAGCATGTTTATGAACAATTGCTGCATGAAGATGGTTGTTCATAAATAGTGCCAAATGGTTGTTTCTCTCTGCTCATAGGGTAGAGTACGTGACATCATCTACAAGGGGACAGAGGAGAGGATTCGCCAAGCCGCACAGCCTGATGGGATGGTGCCACTGGTAAGTCAAAGATAGTGAATATAGGAAAATATCCAGAAACATATTTTTTCTTCAATAAAAAGAGTCATGGGAATACCTAGACGGCCGGTAGCCAAGCGGTTACAGCGTTGGGCCAGGAACTGAAAGGTTGCTGGTTCGAAAACCCGAGCCGACAAGGTGAAACATTATCTGCCCTTGAGCAAGGCAATTAACATTAATTTACTCCAGGGGCGCCGTCCTACTATGGCTGACCCTGTGAAACAACTGATTTCACTGCACCTACAGTGGGGAGAACAAGTATTTGATACACTGCCGATTTTACAGGTTTTCCTACTTACAAAGCATGTAGAGGTCTGTAATTTTTATCATAGGTACACTTCAACTGTGAGAGACAGAATTTAAAACAAAAATTCAGAAAATCACATTGTATGATTTGTTTGTAATTAATTTGCATTTTATTGCATGACATAAGTATTTGATCACCTACCAACCAGTAAGAATTCCGGCTCTCACAGACCTGTTAGTTTTTCTTTAAGAAGCCCTCCTGTTCTCCACTCATTACCTGTATTAACTGCACCTGTTTGAACTCGTTACCTGTATAAAAGACACCTGTCCACACACTCAATCAAACAGACTCCAACCTCTCCACAATGGCAAAGACCAGAGAGCTGTGTAAGGACATCAGGGATAAAATTGTAGACCTGCGCAAGGCTGGGATGGGCTACAGGACAATAGGCAAGCAGCTTGGTGAGAAGGCAACAACTGTTGGCACAATTATTAGAAAATGGAAGAAGTTCAAGATGACGGTCAATCACCCTCAGTCTGGGGCTCCATGCAAGATCTCACCTCAATGATCATGAGGAAGGTGAGGGATCAGCCCAGAACTACACGGCAGGACCTGGTCAATGACCTGAAGAGAGCTGGGACCACAGTCTCAAAGAAAACCATTAGTAACACACTACGCCGTCATGGATTAAAATCCTGCAGCGCACGCAAGGTCCCCCTGCTCAAGCCAGCGCATGTCCAGGCCCGTCTGAAGTTTGCCAATGACCATCTGGATGATCCAGAGGAGGAATGGGAGAAGGTCATGTGGTCTGATGAGACAAAAATAGAGCTTTTTGGTCTAAACTCCACTTGCCGTGTTTGGAGGAAGAAGAAGGATGAGTACAACCCCAAGAACACCATCCCAACCGTCGAAGCATGGAGGTGGAAACATCATTCTTTGGGGATGCTTTTCTGCAAAGGGGACAGGACGACTCCACCGTATTGAGGGGAGGATGGATGGGGCCATGTATCGCGAGATCTTGGCCAACAACCTCCTTCCCTCAGTAAGAGCATTGAAGAAACACACAGCCAGGGCAACTAAGGAGTGGCTCCGTAAGAAGCATCTCAAGGTCCTGGAGTGGCCTAGCCAGTCTCCAGACCTGAACCCAATAGAAAATCTTTGGAGGGAGCTAAAGTCGTATTGCAGCGACAGCCCGAAACCTGAAGGATCTGGAGAAGGTCGATGGAGGAGTGGGCCAAAATCCTGCTGCGTGTGTGCAACCGGGCAAGACCTACGGAAAACGATGATCTCGGTAATTGCAAACAAGGTTTCGTCCAAATATTACCGCTTTCTGTTTCAATCTGCATGCATAAGAAGTTAAAACTAAAAAAATACTTTTTTTTTTTTTTTTTTTTGTTTTCCAAAAGCCCAAAATTAAAAAAAAAAATTTTTTGCAAAATACTACCTACTGACAGAAAAGAATCAAAAATTCGAACACACTCCTGTTTTCAACAAGGCACTACAGTATCCTGCAAAATGTGGCAAAGAGAATTCACTTTTGTACTGAATACGAAGTGTTTGGATAAAAGCGTCTGCTAAATGGCATATTATTATTATTATTATTATTATGTTTGGGGCAAATCCAATACACACATTACAGAGTACCACTCTCCATATTTTCAAGCATAGTGTTGGCTGCATCATGTTATGGGTATGCTTGTAATCATTAAGGACTGGGGAGGTTTTCAGGATAAAATGGAAACGTAATGGAGCTAAGCACCGGGAAAAGCCTAAAACACAAGGCCAAATCTACACTGGAGTTCCTTATCAAGACAGTGAATGTTATTGAGTGGCCGAGTTACAGTTTTTAATTAATCTACTTGAAAATCTACGGCAATACTTAAAATGGTTGTCTAACAATGATCAACAACCAATTTCAAGGAGCTTGAAGAATTTTGAAAATAATAATGGGCAAATGTTGCACAGTCCAGGTGTGTAAGCTCTTAGAGACTTACCCAGAGAGACTCACAGCTGTAATCGCCGCCAAAGGTGCTTCTACAAATTATTGACTCGGGTGTGACTACTTATGTGAATGAGATATTTCTGTATTTCATTTTCAATCAATTTGGAAACATTTCTAAAAACATGTTTTTACTTTGTAATTATTGAGTATTGTGTGTAGATGTAAATATATTTAATCAATTTTGAATTCAGTCTGTAACACAACAAAATGTGGAATAAGTCAAGGGGTATGAATACTTTCTGAAGGCACTGTACGCATTCTTTTGACAGCATGTTTATGAACAATTGCTGCATGAAGATGGTTGTTCATAAATAGTGCCAAATGGTTGTTTCTCTCTGCTCATAGGGTAGAGTACGTGACATCATCTACAAGGGGACAGAGGAGAGGATTCGCCAAGCCGCACAGCCTGATGGGATGGTGCCACTGGTAAGTCAAAGATAGTGAATATAGGAAAATATCCAGAAACATATTTTTTCTTCAATAAAAAGAGTCATGGGAATACCTAGACGGCCGGTAGCCAAGCGGTTACAGCGTTGGGCCAGGAACTGAAAGGTTGCTGGTTCGAAAACCCGAGCCGACAAGGTGAAACATTATCTGCCCTTGAGCAAGGCAATTAACATTAATTTACTCCAGGGGCGCCGTCCTACTATGGCTGACCCTGTGAAACAACTGATTTCACTGCACCTATCTGTTGTACTGTATGTGATAATACAACATTTTAGTTTATGAGCATGCAGCACATGTAATGATGTAACTCCATTCAGGTGTCAGGGCCTGTGTTCTTCTGCAGGAGGGTACTAGAGCGATTGCTGAAGGCCCATGTTACCTCTCCCCTTGATGGTTGCACGTACATGGGCATGGACTCAGGGGCACCACCCCTTCAGGTATTCAGTCTTCATCTTTAATTCTCATTTCTAATTCTCAGTTTCTTTACCTCTGTCTTTGTGCCTGTCACCCTCCCTTTCTTCTTGTATCTGTGGGTGACATTTCATCTTCTGTATCAATTTCACTCTTCCACATCTTTGCACCCTCCCCTCAAACACAGTTCTGTTATTTCTAGGTTTACACAAAGCTCTTTTCCCCTCTGGTTTTATTCTGATACAACCTTATCCTCCGTCTCATCCCTTCATTGTCTTTCTTTCCATGGTTATTTATTCTCTGCAGATCTCCCTCTTTCTGGATTTGTTGATGTGTCTTTGCACAGACCTGAGTGAGTCCGAGTTTGTGAATGGGGAGAGGTCGGGCTGCAGTTCCCCCATCAGTCAACAGGGAGCAGTAGTGAGGAGCGCACGGGCCTTGCTATGGAGGATACTGAGAGGCACCACTCTCCATATGGGTATGTCACTTTCTATGTGGTACATCACTCTCTGTACATGCCAAATGTGCCATCCTATTACAAGTGGTTCATACATGTGTTTGGTTTTCTCCTTGCAGTTTACGTTCCTGGCGGTTGCTACGACTACCTGACTCTGTCCGGTAGAGAGCACATTGGCCGCCTGACAAAGATGGGGACAGAGAGAGACACTCTGTCACACATACAGGTACCGTACTGGCAAATATATTTTATGTTTGAGATTCTTCAAAGTATCCACCTTTTAACACACTTAACCGATCAGGGTTGGGTTATAAAAAAATATCCGAAACTTTGAACATCCCACGGACCACCATTAAATCCATTATTTAAAAAAGGAAAGAATATGGCACCACAACAAACCTGCCAAGAGAGGGCCGCCCACCAAAACTCGCAGACCAGGCAAGGAGGGCATTAATCAGAGAGGCAACAAAGAGACCAAAGATAACCCTGAAGGAGCTGCAAAGCTCCACAGTGGAGATTGGAGTATCTTTCCATAGGACCACGTTAAGCCGTACACTCCATAGAGCTGGGCTTTACGGAAGAGTGGCCAGAAAAAAGCCATTGCTTAAATAAATAAATTTGCAAACACGTTTGGTATTCGCCAAAAGGCATGTGGGAGACTCCCCAAACATATAGAAGAATATGTTTTTAATCGGCAGGGACTGGGAAACTGGTCAGAATTGAAGGAAAGATGGATGGCGCTAAATACAGGGAAATTCTTGCGAGAAACCTGTTTCAGTCTTCCAGAGATTTGAGACTGGGATGGAGGTTCACCTTCCAGCAGGATAATGACCCTAAGCATACTGCTAAAGCAACACTCGAGTGGTTTAAGGGGAAACATTTCAATGTCTTGGAATGGCCTAGTCAAAGCCCAGACCTCAATCCAATTGAGAATCTGTAGTGTTACTTAAAGATTGCTGTACACCAGCGGAACCCACCCAACTTGAAGGAGCTGGAGCAGTTTTGCCTTGAAGAATGGGAAAAAATCCCAGTGGTTAGATGTGCCAAGCTTATAGAGACATACCCCAAGAGACTTGCAGCTGTAATTGCTGCAAAAGGTGGCTCTACAAAGTATTGACTTTGAATAGTTATGCATGTTTTTTTTTTGGTCTTATTTCTTGTTTTTCACAATAAAGAATATTTTGCATCTTCAAAGTGGTAGGCATGTTGTTTAAATCAAAATGATACAAACCCCCCCAAAATCCTTTTTAATTCCAGGTTGTAAGGCAACAAAGTAGGAAAAATGCAATGTCAGCACAATAACTGTTTGTCGGGAGCATCATGAAATGGGTTTCCATGGCCGAGCAGCCGCACACAAGCCTAAGATCACCATGCGCAATGCCAAGCGTCGGCTGGAGTGGTGTAAAGCTCGCCGCCATTGGACTCTGGAGCAGTGGAAATGCGTTCTCTGCAGTGATGAATCACGCTTCACCATCTGGCAGTCTGACGGACAAATCTGGGTTTGGCGGATGCCAGGAGAACGCTACCTACCCCAATGCGTAGTGCTAACTGTAAAGTTTGGTGGAGGAGGAAAAATAGTCTGGGGCTGTTTTTCATGGTTCGGGCTAGGCCCGTCAGTTCCAGTGAAGGGAAATCTTAACGCTACAGCATACAATGACATTCTAGACGATTCTGTGCTTCCAACTTTGTGGCAACAGTTTGGGGAAGGCCCTTTCCTGTTTCAGCATGACAATGCCCCCGTGCACAAAGCGAGGTCCATACAGAAATGGTTTGTTGAGATCGGTGTGGATGAACTTGACTGGCTTGCACAAAGCCCTGACCTCAACCCCATCGAACACCTTGGGGATTAATTGGAATGCGACTGCGAGCCATGCCTAATCACCAGACATTAGTGCCCGACCTCACGAATGCGCTTGTGGCTGAATGGAAGCAAGTCCCCGCAACAATGTTCCAACATCTAGTGGAAAGCCTTCCCAGAAGAGTGGAGGCTGTTATAGCAGCAAAGGGGGGACCAACTCCATATTAATGTCCTTGATTTTAGAATGAGATGTTAAAGGAGCAGGTGTCCACATACTTTTGGTCATATAGTGTAGCTACTATAGTAATGCGTTGGTAAACCCTCTACAATCATGCAGTACAGTGTACAGTCAAAAAGCAGTTTAGCAGCTACACCTGCAGGCCCCGGTGGCAATAAATTAATAAAACCGAAAGCTTACCTTGACTTGGAAGAGTTCCACTGTTGGATAGCCATAGCCAGCTAGCTAACATACTGTAGCATCCCTTTCTGTTTGTGCCGGGTGTTTTGAGTAGGCTAAACTAGCTAGCTGCATTCAGCTAGCTCTTTCTCTTTCCTACTCTCTCTTGCTTCTTCTTAATTTTGGAAGAAATTAATTTGTTCAACTGTTTAACTAGTCTTTCTCTCTCTTTGAGTCAACTACTCACCACATTTTATTCACTGCAGTGCTCGCTAGCTGTAGCTTATGCTTTCAGTACTAGAGTCATTCTCTGATCCTTTGATTGGGTGGACAACATGTCAGTTCATGCTGCAATAGCTCTGATAGGTTGGAGGTCGTCCTCCAGAAGTTGTCATAATTACTTTGTAAGTCTATGGAAGAGAGCCTCCTTGAGCCTCCTTGGTTTTGTATCGAAGTCAATGTACCCAGAGGAGGACAGAAGCTAGCTGTCCTCCGGCTACACCATGGTGCTACCCTACAGACTGCTGCTGAGGCTACTGTAGACCTTCATTCCAAAACAGTGTGTTTTAACCTCTACGTGATCGGTGTACCGTATACGGGACGGTTGAGCTAACGTGCGCTAATGTGATTAGCATGACTATTGTAAGTAAAAGCAAACTTTCCAGGACATAGACATGTCTTATATGGGCAGAAAGCTTAAATTCTTGTTAATCTAACTGCACTGTCAAATTTACAGTAGCTATTACAGTGAAAAAATACCATGCTATTGTTTGAGGAGAGTGCACAACAACAAAAAACTTATCACGGCAACTGGTTTGATACATTCACCTCTGAAGGTAAATAATGTACTTACATTCAGTAATCTTGCTCTGATTTGTCATCCTAAGGGTCCCAGAGATAAAATGTAGCATAGTATTGTTTGATAAAATCAATTTTTATATTCAAATGTAGGAACTGGGTTCTACAGTTTGAAACCCTGCTGTCTCTGGCTCCACACCCACCCCGCCCGGCCATCTAGATGTGTGAAAGTTAGTGTATAAACTAATGATCCATCATGTATGACATTCCTGGGAGTATGTAAACTTACATGTTGTATTACCATATAATTTTTGTATGTTCTCTATAGTTATGTACTTGAAACTGTATCAATTGACCAATTCGGCACCTTTGGGCAGACTTGATACAAATTAGTCCAGTATTACAATGCTTCACTGGATCAATCTGAGATTTTGCACACACACTGCTGCCATCTAGTGGCCAATATCTAAATTGTGCCTAAACTGCAAATTATATTGTGGCCTTTCTCTTGCATTTCAAAGATGATGGAACCAAAAAAATTATAGAACACGCATGTTTTTTTTGTTTGTATTATCTTTTATTAGATCTAATGTGTTATATTCTCATACATCAATTTCACATTTCCACCAATTCAAAGTGTGTCCTTTAAAACGATATCAAGAATATGCATATCCTTGCTTCAGGTCCTGAGCTACAGGCAGTTAAGCGAAAATTGTAGAAAAAAAAAAGAGTCAGATCCTTAAGAGTTTAATCAATTATTTGGTGACTTGTGAATATATTTAGTATAGTTTTAACTAAAAAGGATCACTTTTTTGTTTCACTATTTTTATGAAATTCACTGAGGAGGATGGTCCTCCCCTTCTTCCTCTGAGGAGCCTCCACTGCGTACTGGGTAACCGTTCACTCATACGGTCTACATAAAGCTGCCATTAACGTTGCAGGAAAAGGAAATTGAATTGATCCCAACCATGGTCACAACCCTAGCCATGCAATGTGTGTTTTTAATATCTGTCCATGTCTTTCTGTCTGTGTTGTCCTCAGAATGCCCAGTGTGTGAGTGATGGAGGCAGGGTGATCAACAGTGTTCTGGAGGGGGACGTCATTGTTGCATCAGGAGCAGTAATCCAGCACTGCCACCTTCAGGTCTGGAGGAACTCAGAAAATGTAGAACAAAATGTGTACTTAAAACATATGCTGTGATGTTGTATAACCTTTGACCTCTTCTCCTAGGGTCCAGTGGAGGTGCATTCAGGTTGTTTACTATCAGGCCTGGAAGTGACCTCATCATCGCACATCCAGCAGCTGGCCTTAACCAATGACCACATCATCCAAGGGCACCACATACAACTGGGAGAGATGAAGGTCACTGTTTATACAGTGCTGGGGGCTAACGATGATCTCAAGGTAGCAAGGCGCTGTCTTCTCTCCTTCTCCCTTCCACCTTCTTTAGAGATTTCACCATCGGAATGATAGGACTGTGGACAGAGACTGTTTAGAATGTCTGTTGGTCTCTTACAGACTTTGCCTTCCCATAGGTTTCCTGTGATGACGATGGTGCCACCTTCCTGAACCACAGATGGAGTGACTTCTACAGCCGCACTGGAATACAGTAAGCGTGTTAGCTTGACTGCTAACCTACTCTGATCATGATTTGGACCCTTGGAATGATAATTGTTATATTTACAGAGTCCCTCTGCTCTCTCTCCCCAGGCCTGAGGATCTGTGGGTGTCCGGGAGGTCCCAGTCCCTCATGGAGGCACGCCTGTTCCCAGTCTTCCAGCCGCGGGGGGGCGCTGTGGGGCTGGATGTGGGGGTGTGCTGGCTGCTGGGTGGGCCAGGGGCACTGGAGCAGTGGAGGGCCGCCTGGAGGCTCTCTCTCCGAGAGGTCCTTTCCCTTACTGACCAGGAGGGGGAGCTGCGCTGGAGGGAGGCGCTGTTCTTCCAGGTGGGGAGGAGGAGAGTGATGGACAACTTGAAGGGCCAGAGCGATCGTGGGCTGTTGCCCAGCTTCAGGGCTGCCGTGCTTGGAGGCCAGCATGAGGAGCTCCTCTGCACACTAGACTCCAGTGAGTACTTGATGTCCCTTTATTTGACCATGGGAAGCGGAGTGAGAACACATTGACATTTACACAAGGAGTTGCAGTGCGGAGGCCCCGTCTTACTTTTTCACCTTTTCAACACTTGAAGTGTATGCTCTCTAAATGTGCGTTTATGTGTGAATTCCTGGGGGTGCAGGTGCCTGAATGCATTTCACAGGCTCATTTTGCACTCTTCCTGTCAATTGGCCATAAGAATGGAAAAAAAGGTGACTCTCTCTCAATGACTATAGTCATCCCTTGTGCTCCAGTTGCAGCGGGCAGCAGAGAGAACCTGGGAGTGGCGGCCCGCTGCCTGGCCTGTATAGCTGACGTGCTGGCCTGCATGGCCGGGGAGGGCCGAGGGGGGCTGAGGAGCGGGCCGGCTGCTAACCCCGCCTGGAGCCATGCCTTCTCCGTCCTGGAGCAGGGAGACCTGCTGGGTGGCGTCCAGGCCCTGGCCACCGAGAGAGCCAAATGGCTCAGCAGGTCAGACCCATACTGATACTATTAACTACTAACCCTCCATTAGTAGGGGCTGCTAACATATGCATGTTTGCACCATAATGCTTTCTCCCTGCAATATCAATTCCTTAAAAAGTCTGCGGTCAAGAAGTAAAGGAAACCAGGAATTATTATGAAACATGTCAGGAGTGACAGTATATGACTGCCCCCTGCAGGCCACACTTGCTGGTGCGTGCTGCACGGCACTATGAGGGGGCCGGGCAAGTGCTGCTACGACAGGCTGTGATGTCATCACAGAGATTTATCTCCATTGGTCAAGGCGAGGTTCCACCCCTTGGGGAATGGCAAGATGTGGAGTGTCCTGCCAGATTGGACCTTTCAGGTGAGTCAACGGCCCTGTTCAATTTCACCCCTTAGACCAGTGTTTCCAAAACTTTGTCCTCGGGACCCCAAGGGGTGCACTTAAAAAAATTATTTGAATTAGCTGTGCAGTGCTAGGGCAAAAACCAAAACGTGCAGCCCTTGGGGTCCTGAGGACTGAGTTTGGGAAACCCTGCCCTTTCCCCTAGCCAAACTCTAATGGCAAAGCTCTTTGGATGAGTTATCCGTACTCTTTTAAACCCAGGACAATACCCCTAAAAACATACCCCCTAACTACATGCTATGGGATCATGGGGCCCCTTAGTTTAACATCTAATTTAATGGGCCTGGTCCTATATCAGTTTGTGTTCTCTTGCCACAAATCCCGTAGGAGTACTTCTCAAAATAGGCTCTATCCCACAGGTGGCTGGAGTGATACTCCGCCCATTGCCTTTGAACATGGTGGCGCAGTGGTCAACGTGGCGGTGAAGGTCGACGGGAGACGGCCCATTGGTGCCCGAGCTCGTCGCATCAAAGAGCCCCGTCTGCTATTGGTTAGTTCCAATGGAGTGCAGGACGATGCTGTCGCCATGGAGATAGTTTGCGAGAGGCTGGAGGATCTGAAAGACCACTGTGTGCCACATGCACCTGGTAAGAATTAAATGGGTTTTTATGTGCAGTGCCTTGCAAAAGTATTCATCCCCCCTTTGCGTTTTTCCTATTTTGTTGCATTACAACCTGTAATTTAAATGGATTTTATTTGGATTTAATTTAATGGACATATACAAAATAGTCCAAATTGGTGAAGTGTAATGAAAAAAATTCTAAAAAATAAATATCGCAAAAGTGGTGCGTGCATATGTATTCACCCCCCTTTGCTATGAAGCCCCTAAATAAGATCTGGTGCAACCAATTACCTTCAGAAGTCACATAATTAGTTAAATAAAGTCCACCTGTGTGCAATCTAAGTGTCACATGATCTCAGTATATATACACCTGTTCTGAAAAGCCCCAGAGTCTGCAACACCACTAAGCAAGGGGCACCACCAAGCAAGCGGCACCATGAAGACCAAGGAGCTCTCCAAACAGGTCAGGGACAAAGTTGTGAAGAAGTACAGATCAGGGTTGGTTTATAAAAAAATATCTGAAACTTAGAACATCCCACGGACCACCATTTAAATCCATTATTAAAAAATTGAAAGAATATGGCACCACAACAAACCTGCCAAGAGAGGGCCGCCCACTAAAACCCACGGACCAGGAAAGGAGGGCATTAATCAGAGAGGCAACAAAGAGACCAAAGATAACCCTGAAGGAGCTGCAAAGCTCCACAGCGGAGATTGGAGTATCTGTCCATAGGACCACTTTGAGCCGTACACTCCACAGAGCTGGGCTTTACGGAAGAGTGGCCAGAAAAAAGCCATTGCTTAAAGAAAAAAATAAGCAAACACGTTTGGTGTTCGCCAAAAGGCATGTGGGAGACTCCCCAAACATATGGAAGAAGGTACTCTGGTCAGATGAGACTAAAATTGAGCTTTTTGGCCATCAAGGAAAACGCTATGTCTGGCGCAAACCCAACACCTCTCATCACCCCGAGAACACCATCCCCACAGTGAAGCATGGTGGTGGCAGCATCATGCTGTGGGGATGTTTTTCATCGGCAGGGACTGGGAAACTAGTCAGAATTGAAGGAATGATGGATGGCGCTAAACACAGGGAAATTCTTGAGGGAAACCTGTTTTAGTCTTCCAGAGATTTGAGACTGGGACGGAGGTTCACCTTCCAGCAGGATAATGACCCTAAGCATACTGCTAAAGCAACACTCGAGTGGTTTAAGGGGAAACATTTAAATGTCTTGGAATGGCCTAGTCAAAGCCCAGACCTCAATCCAATTGAGAATCTGTGGTATGACTTAAAAATTGCTGTACACCAGCGGAACCCATCCAATCTTCAAGGAGCTGGAGCAGTTTTGCCTTGAAGAATGGGCAATAATCCCAGTGGCTAGATGTGCCAAGCTTATAGAGACATACCCCAAGAGACTTGCAGCTGCAATTGCTGCAAAGGGTGGCTCTACAAAGTAGGGGTGAATAGTTATGCACACTGAAGTGTTCTGTTTTTTTGTCTTATTTCTTGTTTGTTTCACAATAAAAAATATATTGCATCTTCAAAGTGGTAGGCATGTTGTGTAAATCAAATGATACAAACTCCCAAAAAATCAATTTTAATTCCAGGTTGTAAGGCAACAAAATAGGAAAAATGCCAAGGGGGATGAATACTTTCGCAAACCACCGTATGTGGGCCGTGCTGATCAGTAAGTGTGTGTGTGGAGTCTTGTGTGGCATTTCCATGTATTGATTCTATATCCTTGTGCTGTTTGTTCACTGCTGTTGCGTGATCCAGTTTTTCTTTCCATTCATAAAGGCACACTTCTAGTAGAACTTGTCATGTTTGGTCACTTCCAGTTGTCTTTGATCGTAGTCCAGGTCATGCTTCGTGATCAAGAATGTAGTGGTAAAACTTGCAGCTGTCAATTTAAACACTAAATGCTCACCAATTTAAAAAGGAGAATTGATGTGTCTTTACGCTACACTACATCCCTGTTGGTCATATCTGGTCATCTGCTCCCCTCTGTGTGTGTGTGTGTCCCCCAGGTGCCCTGTTGAAGGCGGTGTGTGTGTGCAGCGGCCTGGTCACCTATCCCTCTCGGCAGTCCCTGGAGGAGCAGCTCTTGCAGCGCTGGGGCGGAGGGGTGGAGATCCACACCTGGTCCCTCCTGCCCCACGGTTCAGGACTGGGTAAGAAGAGCAATGGGTTGTGCTCATTAGGGCATGTAACGGAAAACATTTAGCAAGACGTGGGGTTTAGCAATCGGAGAATGTTTTGTAACGGAATATGAAAATGTTTTTTATTTTTATGGAGAGTCCAGGTAGTCCCTCCCTGTTTCAGTCCATTTTCTTCCATTTGTTGCCTAATGCACATGACCATGGGGCTTGGCAGTGTCAGTGTCTCATAACACATAAACCACCACATTGTCTCTTGTTGTGGTGCTACAGAAAAAGCAAAAAACACTACTTGGTCATCAACGCCAAGAATTGGGCTAGTCCCTGCACACATTCACCACTCACTCCTTCGTTCCCCTTCCCCTCACTTCACCTCCCCTCTCCCACTCTTTCTTTGTCTTTCTCCCCGCTATCTCTCTCACTGCCTATTGTTGCTCCTGCAGGTACCAGTAGTATCTTGGCGGGAGCGGTGCTGGCAGCCGTCTACAGATGCACGGGGCGAACCTACGACACAGACTCCCTCATTCACGCTGTTCTCCACCTGGAGCAGATGCTGACCACTGGTGAGATCTCACTCACAACAACACATACACAGAATACCATTTGCACCTGTGTGGCAGAAGGGGCAACCCAGACACGTCACAGGGGCTATAAAGCTGAAGCATCTGTTTTTAGAACGTTTTCTCACCACCAAATATAGTAGTGAGAGGAAGTCCAGTCATGGGTAGTGGGAACTAGGTGAAACTGGGCCGACATTCTGGTAATTTTCTCATCTATGATACATCTGATCTCAATACATTTTTCTGTTCCCCAAACTAAAATCTGTTACAAAACACAGTGCAATTAGTTTTATAGATTTGACGCTTTGCCAAAGTTGTAAAAAAAATTGTGTTGTTTAGGAATGCAAGTTTCGAATTGAGTTTGAGCACACGTGCACTTCACAGAGGTGGCGTTCCCTACCGGAAAATATGCAAATATACGCTACAATGCGCCAATAGGATCTCACTAGCTCGTGCTTGGCTTTGCTCACCTCCTTCCTTGTTCTGCCCACTATGCTTCATTTGCTCCCACTGTAAACGACACAGATGAACTGTCTTGGGTTAGTTATAAATATCTTTGGCTAAGCTGTTTGCTGGCTATGTGTGGAGCCATGTTGACATCATTCAATGCATTCTGAGTCACGTAAACATCTGTCAGACCAAAGATGTTATAGCAAAACGAGGTGAAGGGATGGTTCACTCGAACTTCCGGAAGTGAATGATGGTAGACAACACACCCCCTTCGTCTTTAACATGCATACTGCAAACAGACCCAACTCATCTTGTCAGCTCTTTGGTTGATGGAGAAAAACAAACTACCCACCATCTGTCTACTTTCGACTTTTAGAAAGTGTTTCACTCAATTATTTTGATCACTGGTAAGCTCACCCTTGATGTGATGAAGTGTAAATATTAATTGTTATTCGCTCATTCATATTATGATTTCTATGAGCTGAGAGTTGGATAAATATGACCACTTGTGTTGGCTCACTCTTTACTCAGTTAGCGCTAGGACCAATGTAGCCTATATAACACAATGAGAATTGTGTTATGCTGTTGCTACTTCTGTCTGAACATTGCATCCAAAAATGAACTGCTTACATTGAGGACATAACATTGTAAAGACTGTGTTTATGCAAAATGTTTGTTTTTTTCACAGTGTGGGCCAGCTCAAACACGGACTGTTGCGTCAATCGTAACTAGACGCACTAATGAAGTGTTCTAATCACACCGGTTTGAGCGTACGCAGCAGGGACCACCCGTGTCAAAGGGTTTTAAATCGCTTTGGGTAAAAGCATCTGATAAATGGCATATTATATGTTATTTGTTATGATGCGCTCATTCTGTCTCCCTCTCTCTCCCTGTCTCCCTCCTTAGGTGGTGGTTGGCAGGACCAGGTCGGAGGCTTGGTGGGGGGAGTAAAGGTGGCGCGCTCCAAAGCCTGTCTTCCCCTCCGGGTGGAAGTGGAACGTCTCACTCTCTCAGAGGACTTTCTGCTCTCACTTCAACAGCACCTCCTGCTGGTCTACACCGGCAAGACACGGCTTGCACGAAACTTGCTGCAGGTTAGCCATCCAGCCTTACAGCACTTATTCAAAGCCAAAATGTTAAGAAAGGGGTTAACTATACCATTCATTGAAAAGTCTGACTTATATTGTAACTTATAAATCAGGCCTTTACTCTGTAATGAGTTTGAATTTCCACTGTAATAAATCCAACACTATGCTTTCTGACTCTGTGTACTAGAAAACTTTGTTAGTGCATTAGTCAAGTTTAGGGTTCAAAAGATAGTTTTAGGATTTAATGAGGTTCTGTAAAGTTCCTTTAATATATTTACACCAAGCATCCACACTTACTTCCTGTTTCTACAATAATATTTCTGACCACTTCCTGTTTACAGTGTACAGTTGTGGTAGAACACTTCCTCTCAGTGCTGCAGGCATTTTGTCATTTCACATGTACCATGTATTTACATTGACCATTTACTAGCACAAACCTTTCAAAACGACATGATCAAAACAGTACGTCAAATGCTACAGCTACTTAGAGGAAGGAGAGGAAGCAACTTTAGACTATTGAGATTTGTTTGAAGGATGTTGGGTGTCATCTCTAAAATGGCTGCCATGTTGTTGTGCAGGACACTGTGCGGCGCTGGTACAGCCGTGTGCCCTCCATCGTGGAGAACGCCGGGCAGCTAGTGGACAACGCAGAAGAGTGTGCCCTTGCATGTACAGAAGGTGAGAGAGAGAGAGGAATGGTGTTGATGCAGCTCTAAAAGTGACTCCCTGGTCCTTCAAACTGCTTATTTTAATTGGCTGATCTTGAGCTTGGTAGGTTATGGCAACTGCCATTGCTTGCCACTCCTAAATTACGCCCATGCCCACCCCACACCTTAATAAACACTTTGTTATATTTTGTCTCTCCTAGGGCTGTTACGGTGACCGTATTACAGCCACACCGGCTGTCACGAGTCATGACGACAGTCAAATTCAAAGTGACCGTTTAGTCACGCTAATTAGGCTTCTCCAAGCTCTGATGCTGCTGATGGTCATTAGTAGCCTACCAAATTTGCTAACTGCCTGGTACTCAGCACTCTATTGTCCCTCTAATCACTCTGACATCAATGCAAATGTAATCGAAAATCGAATCAAACACTTCATGAGAACACATGAGCTCATGTTGCACAACATTTCTATAGGCTATGTGAGAGAACAGAGTGATGGCCTCTATTAAAAAGAGGAGGATCCCATCAGCTTTCTATAGACTAGGCCTACTATATTTATTTATCAACTTTCCTAATATTAAGCACATTGCTTCTCTTTACAACAGGAGTATAGCCTACCTGACTGGCATGAAATTGAACCAAGTGAAAAGCGTCCTCCATTCGCTATTTAAGTGCATAGATGACATGTATTTTTTTCTGCTGCCCCTGTTTCGAGACAGGTGCATGATAATGGTCCATTCTAAATCCAAACTAATTTCACACATATACAGATGTGGAAAAAATTAAGAGACCAATGCAAATTTTTCTTAAATCAGCATCTCTACATGTATGACAGCCATTCCATTCCAGTGTTTGTTGAATTCCAACACAGGCACACCTCATTCTACTGAATTAGGTACTGATTAGGTGATCACATGAACCAAATCTTATTTAACGAGGAAAAGTATTAAAACCACTGCTGTGGTCATCACTATCCTCCTGCAATAGGACCAGCTGGATGGCAAAAACAGTGCTAATAGTACCTCAAAAGTAATATTAATAAAAAAATAACTATTGACCATGCCAAAAGAGTTGAAAATGAATGTTTTGAGTGAGGAAAAGAAGGGTTCAATTCTGGCTTTACTGGCAGAGGGATACAGTGAGTGTCAAGTTGCTTCCATCCTTAAAATTTCAAAGACGGCGGTTCATAAGAACAAGGTCAAGCAGCAGACATTGGGGACAACAAAGCTACAGACCATCAGAGGGCGAAAACGACTCTCTACTGACCGGGATGACCACCAACTCATTCGAATGTCACTCAACAACCGTAAGATGACATCAAGTCACCTACAAAAATAATGGCAAACGGCAGCTGGGGTGAAGTGCACGGCGAGGACGGTTCGAAACAGGCTCCTAGGGGCAGGGCTGAAGTCATGCAAAGCTAGAAAAAAGCCCTTCATCAATGAGAAGCAAAGAAGAGACAGGCTGAGGTTTGCAAAAGACCATAAGGATTGGACCTTAGAGGACTGGAGTAAGGTCATCTTCTCTGATGAGTCCAATTTTCAGCTTTGCCCAACACCTGGTCGTCTAATGGTTAGACGGAGACCTGGAGAGGCCTACAAGCCACAGTGTCTCACACCCAGTGTGAAATTTGGTGGAGGATCGGTGATGATCTGGGGGTGCTTCAGCAAGGCTGGAATCGGACAGATTTGTCTTTGTGAAGGACGCATGAATGAAGCCACGTACAAGGTTGTCCTGGAAGAAAACCTGCTTCCTTTTGCGCTGACATTGTTCCCCAACTCTGAGGATTGGTTTTTCCAGCAGGACAATGCGCCATGCCACACAGCCATGTCAATCAAAGCGTGGATGGAGGACCACCAGATCAAGACCCTGTCATGGCCAGCCCAATCTCCAGACCTGAACCCCATTGAAAACTTCTGGAATGTGATCAAGAGGAAGATGGATGGTCACAAGCCATCAAACAAAGCCGAGCTGCTTACATTTTTGCGCCAGGAGTGGCATAAAGTCACCCAACATCAATGTGAAAGACTGGTGGAGAGCATGCCAAGACGCATGAAAGCTGTGATTGAAAATCAGGGTTATTCCACCAAATATTGATTTCTGAACTCTTCCTAAGTTAAAACATTACTATTGTGTTGTTTAAAAATGAACATGAACTTATTTTCTTTGCATCTTTTTTGTTATTTTGACCAGTTGACATTTTCTGCAAATAAATGCTCTAAATTACAATATTATTATTTGGAATTTGGGAGAAATGTTGTCAGTAGTTTATAGAATAAAACAAAAATGTTATTTTTACCCAAACACATACCTATAAATAGTAAAACCAGAGAAACTGATAATTTTGCAGTGGCTCTTAATTTTTTCCGCAGCTGTATATTATTTAGTATATTTACATTTACATTTTAGTCATTTAGCAGACGCTCTTATCCAGAGCAACTTACAGTTAGTGAGTGCATACATTTTCATACTGGCCCCCCGTGGGAAATGAACCCACAACCCTGGCGTTACAAGCGCCATGCTCTACCAACTGAGCTACAGTGTGTGTGTGTATACAGTGCTATGAAAAAGTATTTGCCCCCTTTCTAATTTTCTCTACTTTTGCATATTTGTGATACTGAATGTTATCAGATCTTCAACCAAAACCTAATATCAGATAAAGGGAACATAAGTGAACAAATAACACAACAATTACATATTTATTTCATAAACAAAGTTATGCAACACCCAATTCCCCTGTGTGAAAAAGTAATTGCCCCCTTACACTCAATAACTGATTGTGCCACCTTTAGCTGCAATGACTCCAACCAAATGCTTCCTGTAGTTGTTGATCAGTCTCTCACGTCGCTGTGGAGGAATTTTGGCCCACTCTTCCATGCAGAACTGCTTTAACTCAGTGACGTGTGGGTTTTCAAGCATGAACTGCTCGTTTCAAGTCCTGCCACAACATCTCAATTGGGATTAGGTCTGGACTTTGACTAGGCCATTCCAAAACTTCAAATTTGTTGCTTTTTAGCAATTTTCATGTAGACTTGATTGTGTGTTTTGGATCATTGTCTTGCTGCATGACCCAGCTGCGCTTCAGCTTCAGCTCACAGACGGATGGTCTGACATTCTCCTGTAGAATTCTCTGATACAGAGCAGAATTCATGGTTCCTTCTTTTAAGGCCAGGCATTACTGGAACCATGTCGTCCAAAAGTTATACTTTTGAATCATCTGTCCATAGAATGTTCTTCCAAGAGTCTTGATGATCATCCAGGTGCTTTTTGGCAAACTTGAGTCAACTTTTTGGACGAGATGGGTCCCATTATGCCTTGCGAAAACCAAACACTGCATTCCACAGTAAGAACATCATACCAAAGGTCAAGCATGGTGGTGGTGGTGTGATGGTTTGGGGATGCTTTGCTGCCTCAGGACCTGGATGACTTGCCTTAATAGAAGGAACCATGAATTCTGCTCTGTATCAGAAAATTCTACAGGAGAATGTCAGACCATCCGTCTGTCAGCTGAAGCTGAAGCGCAGCTGGGTCATGCAGCAAGACAACGATCCAAAACACACAATCAAGTCTACATGAAAATTGCTAAAAAGCAACAAATTGGACGTTTTGGAATGGCCTAGTCAAAGTCCAGACCTAATCCCAATTGAGATGTTGTGGCAGGACTTGCATGAAACGAGCAGTTCATGCTTGAAAACCTACACGTCACTGAGTTAAAGCAGTTCTGCATGGAAGAGTGGGCCAAAATTCCTCCACAGCGACGTGAGAGACTGATCAACAACTACAGGAAGCATTTGGTTGGAGTCATTGCAGCTAAAGGTGGCACAACCAGTTATTGAGTGTAAGGGGGCAATTACTTTTTCACACAGGGGAATTGGGTGTTGCATAACTTTGTTTATGAAATAAATTAAATAAATATGTAATTGTTGTGTTATTTGTTCACTTATGTTCCCTTTATCAAATATTAGGTTTTGGTTGAAGATCTGATAACATTCAGTATCACAAATATGCAAAAGTAGAGAAAATTAGAAAGGGGGCAAATACTTTTTCATAGCACTGTATATGTAAGACAAGATTAAATCAAGAATAGTGTGATGTGTGTCAATATTAGCATATCACTTGTGAATGATATTATCACTTGTGAATGATGCCCTGCTTAAGGCAAACAGCGCATATTTTTTTTTGCGACTTTTTCAAATCATAGTCGCACACCTCATGTAGTCTAGCTCACAGGCCTATATGTTTTGATAAGGTTTCCACTACAAGTGGCCAAATAACTTCTTAAAATGAAGCCCATTAATCCACTTTACAACGGGTGTAGAGCCTAAATGGCATACATATGCAGTGCGTGAGTTTCAAGTTTGGGGAAGATAATTCTCACCCTAAAAATGCACCTTTATAATAAAAGCAATACATGCATAATCGCATTTGTGGTTACTTTTGAGAATGGCGTTTTCCTGCTAATGGAACATTCACGCTTAGCCTACGGCCGTGTGCGCATTGCTGAGCTGATAATGTGAAGAAATAGCCTAATAGTTTATCAAAATTTTAAGCTACATGTTCTCATCTGTTGCGTCAGGCTCATTGCTTAAAACAGGTTTTTTGATGCTAGAGGTTGTATTAATTTGGGATCTATCGCATCCCACAACTGTCCCAGACTTGTTTGGAATATTTATTTATCGCACAGAATAGAGTAGGTCAACTTTTGTACTATGGGGGATAGTAGATTGACATAGGCTAGTGCTTTCGCTGTTCGTTAGGCCTACTCATCTTGTTGGCTGACGAAAAGTAAATGTGGACAGTCCTTCCAATATCTTCAATATGCGCCTCGGAATTGGAGTTGCGTCCCTGATGTGTCTGTCTTCACTTGTAGCCTGTGAGAAAGACCCGATCACGTGACGGAGAGCCATGTGAGTGAGAGGTGCTTCGGCACGCTGGTCACTGGCCGCAAAAGGAATTGATTTTTTTAGGGGGCTGGCCACCCCTCAGAGCCTGGTTCCTCTCTAGGTTTCTTCCTAGGTTTCTGCCTTTCTAGGGAGTTTGTCCTAGCCACCGTGCTTCTACATCGGCATTGCTTGCTGTTTGGGGTTTTAGGCTGGGTTTCTGTATAGCACTTTGTGACATCTGCTGATGTAAAAAGGGCTTTATAAATAACATTTGATTGATTTATAGCCACAAAAAGGGGATGCAGCCGGGAAATTCGAGGCATTATCAAGTGCTTGTCAAATTGTGAATGAGAGACTGATGAAGTGTGTACAGCCTGCGCAAAAAAACAAAGCAGAGTTTTCCTTTCATGCGACTCTTTTCAAATAATCATTGAGTCGCTCATGCAGCCTTAGAATGTATTAACAATCCCCTCTCATCTTCCGATCTCTCTTTCTAACTCCTTCCCTCCTGCCCTCCATCTCCCCCTAGGCTCTCTCCCTAGGCTGGGGGCTTGTCTGGAGCGTTACTGGGGCCAGAAGAAGGTGATGGCTCCGGGGTGTGAGCCGGCAGCGGTGCGGATCATGATGGATGCCCTGCGCCCGCTGGCCCTGGGACAGACGCTGGCGGGGGCGGGGGGAGGGGGCTTCCTCTACCTGCTGACCCGCCAGCCACAGCAGGGGGAGGTGGTGCGTCAGGTCCTCAACAACATACAAGTAAGTATATAGACGGGTGGAGATGTACTGAAAGGGTCAGGAATAGTTCAAATGAAGATGGGAGGGAATGAACAGGGCAAAGTTATATCAGTCCTATGTGTTTAAAACTTGAATTGAAAATGAAACCAAAAGAACCCATTTAAAAACAGAGTTCAGCTATGCTCAGCGTTTCAGCTGACATTGACTGTTTTTGTGTCACAGGGCCTCCGAGACTTCAGTGTCCATCTAGTTGAGCTGGACATGGACGGCATCTCACTGCTGAAGTCTTCCTGACACAGACAGACTTCTGGACCCTAAGCCATTTTTATACAAATGTATACAGTGGGGAAAAAAAGTATTTAGTCAGCCACCAATTGTGCAACTTCTCCCACTTACAAAGATGAGAGAGGCCTGTAATTTTCATCATAGGTACACGTCAACTATGACAGACAAATTGAGAATTTTTTTCTCCAGAAAATCACATTGTAGGATTTTTATTGAATTTATTTGCAAATTATGGTGGAAAATAAGTATTTGGTCACCTACAAACAAGCAAGATTTCTGGCTCTCACAGACCTGTAACTTCTTCTTTAAGAGGCTCCTCTGTCCTCCACTCGTTACCTGTATTAATGGCACCTGTTTGAACTTGTTATCAGTATAAAAGACACCTGTCCACAACCTCAAACAGTCACACTCCAAACTCCACTATGGCCAAGACCAAAGAGCTGTCAAAGGACACCAGAAACAAAAGTGTAGACCTGCACCAGGCTGGGAAGACTGAATCTGCAATAGGTAAGCAGCTTGGTTTGAAGAAATCAACTGTGGGCGCAATTATTAGGAAATGGAAGACATACAAGACCACTGATAATCTCCCTCGATCTGGTGCTCCACGCAAGATCTCACCCCGTGGAGTTAAAATGATCACAAGAACGGTGAGCAAAAATCCCAGAACCACACGGGGGGGCCTAGTGAATGACCTGCAGAGAGCTGGGACCAAAGTAACAAAGCCTACCATCAGTAACACACTACGCCGCCAGGGACTCAAATCCTGCAGTGCCAGACGTGTCCCCCTGCTTAAGCCAGTACATGTCCAGGCCCGTCTGAAGTTTGCTAGAGTGCATTTGGATGATCCAGAAGAGGATTGGGAGAATGTCATATGGTCAGATGAAACCAAAATAGAACTTTTTGGTAAAAACTCAACTCGTCGTGTTTGGAGGACAAAGAATGCTGAGTTGCATCCAAAGAACACCATACCTACTGTGAAGCATGGGGGTGGAAACATCATGCTTTGGGGCTGTTTTTCTGCAAAGGGACCAGGACGACTGACCCGTGTAAAGGAAAGAATGAATGGGGCCATGTATCGTGATATTTTGAGTGAAAACCTCCTTCCATCAGCAAGGGCATTGAAGATGCTGGGTCTTTCAGCATGACAATGATCCCAAACACACCGCCCGGGCAACGAAGTAGTGGCTTCGTAAGAAGCATTTCAAGGTCCTGGAGTGGCCTAGCCAGTCTCCAGATCTCAACCCCATAGAAAATCTTTGGAGGGAGTTGAAAGTCCGTGTTGCCCAGCGACAGCCCCAAAACATCACTGCTCTAGAGGAGATCTGCATGGAGGAATGGGCCAAAATAACAGCAACAGTGTGTGAAAACCTTGTGAAGACTTACAGAAAACGTTTGACCTGTGTCATTGCCAACAAAGGGTATATAACAAAGTATTGAGAAACTTTTGTTATTGACCAAATACTTATTTTCCACCATAATTTGCAAATAAATTCATAAAAAATCCTACAATGTGATTTTCTGGATTTTTTTTCCTCATTTTGTCTGTCATAGTTGACGTGTACCTATGATGAAAATTACAGGCCTCTCTCATCTTTTTAAGTGGGAGAACTTGCACAATTGGTGGCTGACTAAATACTTTTTTCCCCCACTGTAACTACTGTTATGATATATTGGGGGAAGGTTAGTGTTAAGACATATCACAGGAGGTTGGTGGCACCATAATTGGGGAGGACGGGCTCATGGTAATGGCTGGAGCAGAATGAATGGAATGGTATTAAATACATCAAACACATGATTTCCAGGTGTTTGATGCAATTCCATTCGCTCCCTTCCGGCGATTTATTATGAGCAGCCTCCACTGGGACATATACACCTTTTAAACCGAAACGTTTTTCCACCAACTTCAGCATCCCGCCAACTTTTTGCCTACTTTTCTCTATATATGAAAGGTATTGCCGGCGACAAAGCCAATACTTTTATTTCCGCCAACCGACCTAGTCATGATTACGGTAAAGTTCTGCCTACGGCTTAGAATGAAATGTAGCCTTAATGCTGTGGCACCATTGGCCCTACTGCGCTCTTAATGGTTGCTAGACAGCTACGTGGTCCTCTGTAGCTCAGCTGGTAGAGCACGGCGCTTGTAACACCAAGGTAGTGGGTTCGATCCCCGGGACCACCCATACACAAAAATGTATGCACGCATGACTGTAAGTCGCTTTGGATAAAAGCGTCTGCTAAATGGCATTATTATTATTATTATTATTATTACTATCCTCCTGCCAGTTCTAAACTTCGCGAGGCATGTCACTTCACCCATCTCTTTGCATAGCCCACCACATGCACTATGTTCTTAACCACAACTGGATGAATCATAAATAATTATTGTGGGAATAAATATCACTGAATGATGGAAATATTGAAAGCAACAAATTGTGGCTTACTGAAACTCCCAAAGTCATCCAATTGTTTATAATAGGCCTACATTTTATTTGAGGTGAGTGCTGCTCATGATCATCTTGTCTAGTTGGCTCATTTATTAGCACTGATCATAACATTTTTACCAGTATGTTATGTAGCTTAACATGTGGATGATTTTGCTCTTCACTCGAGCATATAGGCAACTCCAAAAGCCCGCAGAGGTTGTGAAATAGGAACACGAGACGCCAATGCTTTTGAAAATATAGATTGCTATTATTTTCTATCGGTATCATGATGAAGATACTCTCAATGTAAGATCCTATGCCTGCTCCCTAACAAAGCAGAGTTAGGGTAGGAAAGAGATGAAACGTAGATTTTAAAAAGCATGGGGTTGCTTTGGGCTGTTTAAATATATCACTTTTGATATGACAACAGCTCCACATGTTGTATTCTTAGTCAACACAATGTATAGTAGGCTGTCTTTTTCTGTTTAATAAGCAAAATAACTATTGATTTCATGTGCATGCTGCAGCCATATAGGCTGCACAGACCAGTAACACAATTAAAGTCAATATGTAATTCTATCCTTTTGAACATACATTTTATTAGTCTTGTGTTTCTTAGGATCTGCCTAAACAAATGAATAATGGATGTATTTTTTATGGTGTATATTCTCAATGGATTTATTTAAAAAGGACGCCCACCCACATCTGCACACCACTACTACCACTTGTCCCCGCCATGCGCATGGGAGTCATAAAAGGCATCCGCAGGCAATAATGTGGTAAAAATGGGCCTGTTTATAAGGGGGTCATATAAACATTGGGAGAAAAAAATTAGCAGGCAAAATACCTTAAATCCTATGTGAACGCAGTAATGGACACTGTCCAGGATACCCTTTCGCACTCCATCCCCCTAGATGGCAGCAACTGGGTCCAGGTGCTAAGCCTGGTTGATAAGCACACATTGGTGCTGCCAATTAGGGTGATCGTCAGTCAGTGTCCCAGCATGCAAGCCGTGAGGCTGCTGGTTCGTTTGGTGGCCATGAGGCCTTTCGTTTGCTTTTGAATCATTAGTTTGGACATGCCTGTTGGCGGTTTCCACTTTGTACATATGTGTTTCGTCACCATCTGAACAAATAATAATCTGCTTGGATGGCCAACCAAGAGGTCAAGAGACAGAGCTGGCACTGGACCAAGATAAGTTTGCTGTCTCCCTGCGCAACACCTAGGCACATGCGTTGATTTCTCACAAATGCACACATTCATTCATGTTACAGGACCCCTAGACAAAGAGTGCCACAATATCTGTAGGCTAGTTATGGGTTTCGTCACACTACTTACTGCTACTTTTCCATGCAACAAGATCACCAACACACTTGATCAAAATGTTTAATATGGTATATTGATTTTTGTGAGGTTTTATTGTAATTGTATGAGATATGGAATATTAATTTATAGAAGTCTTAGTGAAAGATTATCCCGAGTTGCATGTTGAATATAGGGGCCTCCTGGAAACAAGAAAATCTGTAATAAGAGCTTGTAGTCTGCCTTGATGTATTTGCAGTGTATAACAAAATTGTAAGGGAAATGAGGCATGAACATACCACTTGGAAGCAATTTTGTATTTGAGTGAAGATAAACCATCATTTGTTTGTTTGTTTGCGGTCAGACTAAAATACATTTGATACATGGAATCCTGCTCTGTGCAATACCTTGGGCAAACTTCAGCATGAATCTCTTAATTTCTTGACAAACATTGAATACAAAATACCCTTTTGACTCTACTGACAGAACATTACAGGCCAATGAGTAATGTAGTGGCACTCCAGATCAGTGCTAATGATGTGTGTGTGTGTGTGCACTTGATGTTCACCCTCGGGACTGGAGGAGTGAGTCTTTTCTCTTCCATCTTTTAGCCAATGTCTAAAATTGCTTCCTCTTCTTTCCCCCTTTCCTTAAAATGGCACTGACGTGAGACTTTTGTGGCTGATACCCTGGCAGTGTATCACTGAAGTCGCGTGAGCCACTTTATCAAGTGTTTACATTTCAGAGACTTATGTTGATTAGTAGAAAATGGGCACCCATCATTGATTTCTATGTCTTCATATTTGTGCAGATAAATGAGAGGAGTGGAAGTCACTTTAGAGTATCGAGAATTATGCACCCAAGGCCTCAGGTGTGGCCATTCTGGTGAAGGTCTCATTTTCCGGCCACCACTGACAATTGGTCACGGATCCGGCCCAGGCCGTCCAGCATGGTGTCCAGAGTCTCCTTGCTCAACTCCACTGTGACAGATGAGAGAGCGCCACTGCCCCCTAGACAGCTGGAGTCCTCCACCTGCAATAGCAACACAGTCACTTATACCCAGACCAAATTCAACAAGCCCTGAAATGGGTGCCAGTACTCATTTTGGGTGCAGGATATCCAATAATACTTCTGTGCTAATATTCTATGAGGTGCAGTAGAACATTTGAGGTGCCGGTACTCTGCTCCTGCCCAAGTCAAGCACTGGATGTAAGTGACAAAGTGCAGAAAATGGTGTCAATGGTAATATTATGGTGAGGAGGACACGTTTGTTGAGACCAGTGCATGGTGCACATTGGCATACCTTCATGTGCACCAGGCAGGTGGGCACAGCCATGCGACTGACCGAGTCAGATGCTGTCTTCATGTCCACTCTCCAGTCCATCTCCACTAGATGGGGCAGCGAAACTGGAGAACAGTCAACCAAAAGTTAAGCAGTGTCAGGGTTGGTACCTCTCTCTCACACACACACACACACACTCAATTTACCCACATTGGCATACAGGTCAATGCATAAATAAATATTCTGTCATTCAGTAACTGATATTTCAAAGAATAGAGCCTGGATATGCTTACTTTGATTACACAGAGCCTCATTTCTCCATGTGGGACTAAAAAAAATAAAAACATATCAGTAACCATACTTTCAAATATTTGACACCATTTCAGTTCACAAAATTGGACATGCACATTGTAGAACTATGAGAAAGTGGTCATTGGTAAGCATGGGAGGGATGGCTACAGACCTGTGCTCAAGCAGAATCTTGGTAATGAGGTTCTTGAGGCTGGGGTGGAATGACTTGGGGAATAGTACAAGGATCTGCTCGGGCGCTGTCAGGTTATGGAATAGGATGTGGTGAGAAAGGGTGTGCAGGGCTGCGACAAGCTGGAAGAGAAGAGAACAGGATCAATTGGTGTCCTCTCCCAGAGGACCGGTTTGACAAACACTGGTGGTTTTAGAGACACTGGTGTAGAGCAGGTGAGTCGTGTTGGTTGTTCTATACATTAGGCCTACATTCATATCAGCATTCTGTAGTAATATTGTAGCAAACGGTGACAGTACAACACCCTTTGCACATCTTGAACCCAGGGTCGCTTTACTATGTACACGCTTCTTTGTCGCTGATGAGAATGAGTGAATGGCATCAGTGTTAGAATTCTAAAGCTGCAGTCTGTGTGCAGTGCACCCTGTTTTTCTCCTTGGTTGACGACTGATCTTGCAATTACTTTACTTTCTCACACTCACCTCCTTTGCCTCGATGGCAGATACAGACAGGGTCCCTGCTGTGCTTTCCGCGAGCCGCCGTGACTCGGGGGCTCCAGAAGGGAAACTGTCAGCACACAGCTGCCGCACCGCATCCTTTGATGGAGCCTTCTCACATTCATGGTAGTGAGTCGACATGAAAGGGATGAGAGACAGTCAGACGAGCACCGAATGATCTCACAGTGAACGCCTATAGGCTACAGAGGCACATTATGGGATAGGTCAGACTACACTTACAGTGGCGCGTATTCATGGGTGCCAAGGGAAGTCAGGCTTTCCCCAAAAAATTGACCAAGGAAAAACAATTTATTTTGTCTCTGTGTTTCATAATTTTCCTTCAATTTGCAAGAGGCTGAATGTATTTCACCTGAGAAAGCATCCAAGCGAGCGAATAAGTGCCCCTCTGTCTCTTTAGCCCATTTATCTGATCCTGTCTGGTCAAAAAGAGTGATGTTGTTGCCGACCGAAGCCAGCAAGCATTTGGCCTCCCTTTTATATATTTTTTAAATCAAATAAGCCAATCAGCGTTGCGCTAAACTGAATGAGCTCAACTGTGAATGGTACTGGCCTACCAAAAAAAAAAAAAGTGTCAAGGTAAGCCAGCTTGGATTTGGCTTCACACCAATCATCACAACAAAATCCAGACGTCATTGAATTGTTGTATTGTTCTCCGGTGGCTAGCTACAGTGCATTCGGAAAGTATTCAGTTTCCTGTTGGAAGGTGACCCTTTGGCCCAGTCAGAGGACCTGAGCGCTCTGGAGCAGGTTTTCATCTCTCTGTATTTTGCTTCGTTCATCTTTCCCTCGATCCTGACTAGTCTCCTAGTCTCTGCCGCTGAAAAACATCCCCACAGCATGATGCTGCCACCACGCTTCACCGTAGGGATGGTGACAGGTTTCCTCCAGACGTGACGCTTGGCATTCAGGCCAAAGAGTTCAATCTTGGTTTCATCAGACCAGAGAATCTTGTTTCTCATCCTCGGAGAGTCTTTAGGTGTCTTTTGGCAAACTCCAAGCGTGCTGTCATGTGCCTCTTACTGAGGAGTGGATTCCATCTGGCCACTCTACCATAAAGGCCTGATTTGGTGGAGTGCTGCAGAGATGGTTGTCCTTCTGGAAGGTTCTCCCATCGGGTTCTTGGTCACCTCCCTGACCAAGGCCCTTCTCCCCCGATTGCTCAGTTGGCCGGGCGGCCAGCTCTAGGAAGAGTCTTGGTGGTTCCAAACTTTTTCCATTTAAGAATGATGGAGGCCACTGTGTTCTTAGGGAAAGTCAATGCTGCAGAAATGTTTTGGTACCCTTCCCCAGATCTGTTTCTCGACACAATCCTCTCTCGGAGCTCTACAGACAATTCCTTCGACCTCATTACTTGGTTTTTGCTCTGACATGCACTGTCAACTGTGGGTCCTTATATAGAAAGGTGTGTGCCTTTCCAAATCATGTCCAATCAATTGAATTTACCACAGGTGGACTCCAATCCAGTTGTAGAAACATCCATGGAAACAGGATGCACCTGAGCTCAATTTCGAGTCTCATAGCAAAGGGTCTGAATACTTATGTAAATAAGGTATTTGTTTTTTTAATGTGCAAACATCTCTAAAAACCTGTTTTCGCTTTGTCATTATGGGGTATTGTGTGTAGATTGAGGAACAATTTATTTGATCAATTTTGGAATGAGGCTAAGGTAACAAAATGTGGAGGAAGGTGTCTGACTACTTTCCGAATGCACTGTATTTAGCTTACGTTGATTGGAGAATCGTTTTTGGTGTCTTTTAATTGTTACTGTATTAGACTAAGCATAGGTGATTTGATGGTGCTGGAATAGTGGAGGCAGCTCCTATTTTCTTTGCGACTTATGGTAACTCTCCGTGGTTCTAAATCAATTGTAGTTTAGTAGTGTGAAATTGTCAAACATTAACTTGCTTGACCTTGCTGTAGCTCATGTAACTGTTTGTTACATGCAAGGAGCTGCCTCCACTATTCCAGCACCATTTCAACATGATCAAATCACCTACGCTTAGTCTAATACAGTGACAACTAAAAGATACCAAAAACAATTTAGTCCAATCAACGTAAGCTAAATATGAGTGTTCGTGCAAGTAGAAAAAACATGTTGACTCACCCTACTTGAAGAGAAACGCCAATGCCATCCTCTCTTTCATGTTGACGAAATGGTCTATGACTCTGTCATACAGTACGCTTTTATTTATTTTTTGTAATAGGCTACCTGGCTAAAATGCTTGCTCGCTAGCCTGACTTCCTTTCATGGGCAACAATGTGCCAGGCCAGCTAGTTAACATTAGCCTAGCTACTACATCTAGTTACATATTGAACTTGCATCCTCTCAGGCCAGGGGCACAATGTATGAATTTATGGTTGCATCAGAATCGCCGTTAAAATCATTGGCCCGTACGGAGAATTAAGTAAAACCCACAAGTCCAAATCCCTATCTCCATCTGGAGGACATCAACACAATGAGATGCAACAATTCAATTCAGTCATTTGACATTTTGCTCTCATGTGATTGGTGTGAAGCCAAATCCCAAACTGGCTTCCCTTTATACTTTTTTGGTGTGCCAAGACCATTCATTCATCGCTAAGTTTAGCTCAATGCTGATTGGCTAATATTTTATACTTTTATTTTTATCAAGGGAGGCCAATGCACACTTGCTTCCCTTGCATTCAACGCTATAGACCCTTTTCCAGTACACGACCACTGACGTCACGCAACTCTTGGCTGCAGTAAGAAAGCCATCACCATCTGCGCCCATTCAACATAGCCTAGATTTAAGTTATTACTTCTAAACAAAATAACTTTTTGGGGTTCTAATACGCTTACAATTATGTTTTGAGTCTTGCTTGAACAGTCGTTAAGATTATATGGTTGTGATCTTTGCAAAATAACTATTTTGGATGCAGCAGTTGTTAGCTAGAATGCTAATGCTCGTTGACATAGGCTTTAGCAAAAGCTAGCCAAAGAGACATTTTACTGGTTGAAGTTTTAGTTAAAAAAAAATAATGCAGTTGATTTACGATAATGACACAAACATTATAATAAGCAGGACATACATACTAGCCTTAAAATCCAATTATAATCCAAAAGTAGTGTGAAATGCACTCATAAGCAACATGTAAGAGGCTCTTTTTTGATTGTGTTCTAAAAGAAATCCCATGTTCTGCAACCAACTTGCGCGCTTCACCCTCGTGCTGCAATGTTTGCAAACACAACAGGGGGTCTATGGGCAGCAACAACTATTTTTGACCAGACAGCATCATATAGAACTAGATGGGCTACAGAGACGCTGTTTCGCTCGGTCAGATGCTTTCTCTGGTGAGAGACGAAATCAATTATTTTGTTTTTTTCTTGGTCAATTTTGTGGGGAATCCTGCCTTCCCTTGGCATCCATGAATACACGATACTGTTCCCGGGTGATTTTACTCACGCACCGCTACTGTAGACTTATCAGAGCCTATTTCATACTGCAAGCCAGCCATAATAATCAAACTAGTTAACGTTACGAAATGAACAAAAGCGACCGGGCAACGCATCAACATCGACTGATAAAACAAACAGAAGTCTAAGCAAATGAAGCCAACCCTTCGTTTTATGTGGTATCACACTAATAAATCCACCAAAGGCGACAAACCGTAGATAGCTTACCTTTAAAAGAATTTGCAAGGAAGAAAAATGTTCATCTGAAATGGCAGCCATCTTGGCACGTGATGCAATGAAAAAACAGATAGAAATCGCTGCTAGAACAATGAGCCAGATATTTCACCGGATGTATAAATGTCAACCACCCAGTTGGTGATTCCACTCACTACCAAATATGGTGATGAGGAAGCCCAGTGGCCATCAGTGGGAGGAGATGGATTTTGGCTGATATTCTGCAAATGTTCTCATCGATGAAACATTTGATCTCCATATAGTTTTATGTTTCCAAAACTAAAATCTGTAGCAAACAGAGTGGACTTTGTTTTGTAGACTTTGCCAAAGCTTAAATTGCGTTGTTTGAGTTATTGCGCACTTCACTGAGTAGGCATTCCCTAACGGAAATATTAGAAAAAATGCTAGAACGCATCAATAGGATCTCACTAGCTCGTCCTTGGCTCCGCCCACTGATTAATTTGCTACCATTGGAAACGACAGGCTCTGGTCTATCTTGGGTTAGTTATACAAATCTTTGTGGAAATCTTTGTTTGAAAACATGCAGTGTGTCATGTGATCAAAGACTGGGTGCGAAAGGTTATTTTTGTTATTTGGTTTTTAAATGGCGGTTGGCAATCACAAGGTGAATTACACCCACCGAATGGACTTTTTACACTTTGTAATTTTTTTTTTAAATATATGTATACAGTGGTGTGAAAGTATTTTCCCCCTTCCTGATTTTTTTGTTTGCATGTTTGTCACTTAAATGTTTCAGATCAAACACATTTAAATATTAGTAAAAGATAACACAAAATGCAGTTTTGAAATGAAGGTTGTTATTATTAAGGGAAAACAAAATCCAAACCCACATGGCCCTGTGTGAAAAAGTGATTGCCCCCTACAACCTAATAACTGGTTGGGCCACCCTTAGCAGCAACACTTTTGACCCACTCATCTTTGCAGAATTGTTGTAATTCAGCCACATTGGAGGGTTTGAGCATGAACTGCCTTTTTACGGTCATGCCACAGCATCTCAATAGGATTCAGGTCAGGACTTTGACTAGGCCACTCCAAAGTCTTCATTTTGTTTTTCTTCAGCCATTCAGAGGTGGACTTGCTGGTGTGTTTTGGATCATTGTCCTGCTGCAGAACCCAAGTTCACTTCAGCTTGAGGTCACGAACAGATGGCCGGACATTCTCCTTCAGGATTTTTTGGTAGACAGCAGAATTCATGGTTCCATTTATCACAGCAAGTCTTCCAGGTCCTGAAGCAACAAAACAGGCCCAGACCATCACACTACCACAACCATATTTTACTGTTGGTATGATGTTCTTTTTCTGAAATGCGGTGTTACTTTTACGCCAGATGTAATGGGGACACACACACCTTCCAAAAAGTTCAACTTTTGTCTCGTCAGTCCACACAGTATTTTCCCAAAGGTCTTGGGGATCATCAAGATGTTTTCTGGCAAAAATGAGACGAGCCTTA